TAAATATAAGTCTGTTTAGAAATTTCAATATGGAGTACGTACGGGGTAAAATGAGTGAATCTACAATCTAAAAATATGTCTACGTACATCCGTATGTAGTTCATATTGAAAGCTCTAGGACTTATATTTAGAAACGGAGGGAGTATGATGTATAATCACTAGTACAGAACCGGCCTTTAGTGCCGGTTCGTGACGGGCTTTAGTGCTGGTTCGCCAACCGGCACTAAAGAGTGGGGACTAAAGGTCCCCTCCCTTTAGTACCGGTTTGTCACGAACCGGCGATAACGTGTCACCACGTGGCACGAGCCAGGCCCGTTTGCGTGTAGGGCATTAGTACCGGTTGGTAACACCAACCGGTACTAAATGTTTGGGTGTTTTTTTTTAATTTTTCTTTAGTTTTATGTTTTCAATTTAATTTAGTGATTGTTTTACATTATAATGAGTTGTTAAATCATTAGGTGAAAGTACCGCGGATTAGCTACTAGCTAGCTAGCTAAGTGATCAAGTATATGCCATCCATATTATACTTGATCAACTATACGGATATGGCATATACTTGATCACTTAGGTAACGTAGGAAAAATATCATCACCAGCAGTACTAGATTAAAGAAGAAACATTCACTTGTACCAGAAGCAAAAATATCATCGAGTTCAACATACGTGATTGTCATGATATTATAAGCGTTCATATATAACACCACAAAAGCAAATCACTTAAGTTCAGAACGAAGAACACGGACATCGAGTACTAATTAAGAGCAGCATGAAGAACTAGCTAAATCACTCCTGCTAGCTACTCTCTCTCTGGTAAAATAGCATAGAACATGTATAGCTCTCCTGATTGATCATACTGGAGCATGCAGATGAACCTGTCTCCTAATCGTGGGTTGCGCTTCTCAATGCTGCCCCCTAGTACTTCTCTGCGATCATTAACAATTTTCCTCCAATCTTTCACTATTAAGCATTCATCGCTTCTAGAAATCCTGAATGCATTCATGTGCAATGCAGGATATCTTGGTCATAAGCTAACAATTGACATCTGACCTTTAGTCTCGATACCCTGAGGCACAACTGTCATCGGGAGTCCCTGTTGAAGAACATCGTATAGTACTTAACTAATATACTTACCAATGAAAGTTTAGCAAAAAAATTATGTATGCAAAATATGCACTGAGGACAAATAGTAAATATCTTACCATCATTCCTAAATAGATGTGACCGTAGTTCAATACCATCACTATTGGTCGCACGTTTTGAGTACTAACATTTCTAAGTGCTGGAAGAAAATTTGTCTTGACAGTATGAAGATCCTCAAGCCATGAAACATAATGACTTATCTCCTCGCAGTTTAGTTCAGCTCGGGGACAGTAGTAGGTCCTGTCTACCAAGCGGCGGACATGTTTAGTTGAATGGAGATAAGCTGTCAATAGAAATTAGTTGTCAGTTATTTTTGAATAAGCAATATCAAAGACAAAAATATAGTTGAGAAGAACTCACATAATGGTAGAACTGGAGGCGTTTGCACATCGACCCATATGTCTCTATTACCTTCAATATCATCTTCCGGACGAATATCAAAGGTGATAACCATACGAGGCTCAAATGCATAAGCCTTGCATAGTGCTTGCCAAGTTTTGCATTCAAAATAGATGCACATGTGTGCATTGTATAGTTTGTCGTTGAAAGTATAACCATCATGCTCAGTTTTCAGGTAAGCTCTCTTTACCTCCATAGTTTCCATATCTTTGAAACCTATCTTATCCAAGACAAAAATTCTTGCATGGCAGGGGATGCGCTAGTAGAATAGTGAAAATTAAAAATAATAAGTCAGGCAAATAAAGCATATATAAGTCATGCTTACTTATGAAAACAGACTTGTCGTTGTGACTTACTGTATCAAATTCGAAGGTCTCATCCAACTTGATGCTGAATCGCCTACCATCAACAAGGAAATTTTTGTCGCACTAGCCACGCTGGTCTTCACAGTATTCGCACATAATGAAAAGTTTTCCGTCGTCAGACGACATTTCCTATGTTCATATTAGGCGAAACATTAAACACTTACTAATTCAATTAATTCAACTACTTCTATTAATTCAACTAAGCATTTACTAAAAATAAACTAGTTTTATTAATGCAATTAGTTCAACTAAGCATTTACTAAAAATAAACTAGTTCTATATATATATATATATATATATTAATTCAACTAGTTCAACTAAGCATTTACTAAAAAAACTAGTTCTATATATTAATTCAACTAGTTCAACTAAGCATTTACTAAAAATAAACTAGTTTTATATATTAATTCAACTAGTTCAACTAAACATTTACTAAAAATAAACTAGTTATATTAATTCAACTAATTCAAACTAAGCATTTACTAAAAATAAACTAGTTCTATATATTAATTCAACTAGTTCAACTAAGCATTTACTACAAATAAACTAGTTCTATTAATTCAACTAGTTCAAACTAAGCATTTACTATAAAAATAAACTAGTTCGATCTATATATTAATTCATCTAAACATTAGAAAACAGACAATAAGTAAAAAAATATGTGTGTGTGTAGTGTGTGTATATGTGTGTATATGTGTGTACGTACACGTGTAGTGTAGTGTGTGTGTGTGTGTGTGTGTGTGTGTGTGTATGCGTGTGTGCGTGTGTGTGTGTATGCTTCTGGTACAAGTGAATGTTTCTCCTCCTTCTTTTCCTCCTCCTCCTTCTTCTTCTTCTTCTTCTTCTTCTTCTTCTTCTTCTTCTTCTTCTTCTTCCTCCTCTTCTTCTTCGCCTTCTTCGCCTTCTTCTTCCTTCTTCTTCCTCTTCTTCTTCTTCTTCCTCTTCTTCTTCTTCTTCTTCTTCTTCTTCTTCTTCTTCTTCTTCTTCTTCTTCTTCTTCTTCCTTCTTCTTCCTCTTCTTATTCTTCTTCTCCTTCTTCTTCCTCTTCTCCTTCTTCTCCTTCTTCTTCTTCTTCCTCTGAACGCAGAAAAAATACATTGATCAGTACCGCCTTAATTTCAGCCAAAACGTGCTACTGCTACACAGAAGTACATATAAAAAATACATTGATCATCAACGATCTTTTTGTATAGAATCTAAATCGTCAATAGGAATCTACCACCAATTTAAGAACCGGCGAAGACTCCTATTGCAGCCACAGATCCTACACATAGAGTTCAATGAAGACCAAATGTTCGGGATAGTTTGAGAAGTAACATACTTAAGGTGGTCAAATTCTTGTTAGAGGAGCGAGGTGGGACTAAAAATAGCTGCTGCCACAACCTCTTTAGTACCGGTTCGTGCCACGAACCGGTACTAAATGGCCAGCACCTTTAGTACCGGTTCGTGGCACGAACCGGTACTAAAGATTCCCACCGAACCGGTACTAAAGGTCACCTCCCGCCAAGTCATTTGAATCGGCACTAATGGGCGCATTAGTGCCGGCTCATATGCGAACCGGTACTAATGTTTCTCATATTAGGTGCGTTTTCTACTAGTGAATTGCTAGGTTGGAACAGACAGAAATAGGAAAAAGGAGTTTGCCTTCTCTTAGCTAAGAGATGACCACTTACTAAGGAAGACAAGACAATTCCCTTTATTGTCAAGATGTCATCTACTACCCTCCTTCCGGTTTAGAGGGCTTATGTCAAAATTTTAGTTTTTCAGTTTTATAAGTCTCCACTGTATTGCTCCCCGTCATATGTTCAGGTTAGACTAGCCACATGTGGTAAGCAATCTAAATTATTCAAAAAAAAAGGTTAGACTAGCCACAGTGGAGAGTAACATACACATATCCCTTACTATATTACTACCTTCATAGCGGGTAGTAACACAAGTGTGGTGTCATGCAAAGGTTTATTTATTAGGTTATAGACTCATATTGCATTGGGACATGTGATGCTATACTAACTAGCTAAGTTACTTAAACTATCTCTCTCCTCATTAATTCATTGCCACATAAGCAAATTTGCTAAGTTGGACTCGATGTTACTGCTGAAATTACTCCCACTGTGGCTAGCCTTATACGGTGCATTAAATCGTTGTATGCAAGGATTAAGAAAAAATTCACCAGTGCATGTAAAAGTCTTGATCATTTATTGGTCGTCAATATATGCATTACAATTAATGCATTGGTAAGCTCACTAGTATTTGTTAGAAAAATGAGTGCATTAATTGAGTACTTTTGAAAATTACAAAAAATATTTCACCATTCACCATCTACCTTGGTAAGATTTTTAAATTGAACCCTATAAACTGGAAGAGAGGGAGTAGTAGTTGCATATATCTTTTAATTTAATTTAATCCTCCCATTTTTTATGAACATGCAAACATTTATGTTAGAAATAACACTAAGAAATAATCTATTTTTATAACATGCTTTTGTCTTCTCTAGTAAAATGATATGAATTGCACAAGAAAAGACCGCCTTATCAACCATCTACAATTGCACAAGGTAAGCCCACTAGTATTTGTTGGGCCACATTTGAGTGGGAATATTCTATATTTCATATGGTAGATGATTTTTCCTATAAACATGGTTAAGTTCTTGACTTTCATGAAAATCAGTGTGTACTATATTATGGGACGGAGGGAAAACTACCTAGGAGTATTAGACATCAGTCAACTCGCATCATGCACTCGTGGAGTTGCGATGTGAGGTACTAACACTGGAGAACCAACGCTGAGGTGAAGCATCTTCTTCCAGCCAATGTGGCTTCTTCTCGATTGCAAGCATATGATGGGGCTTCAAATACCATGGCATCAAATGCTGATTCTTCTCAACTATTACTCTCTCCGTTCGGAATTAGTTGTTGCAAAAATGGATGTATCTAGACGTATTTTAGTTCTAGATACATCCATTTCCAAGACAAGTAGTTCCAAACGGAGGGAGTAGTAACAAACAAAAAGACATGCAGCAACACGATTTGAGTAATGGAGTGCAAGAATGGTATCCACCACGATTGTTGGCGCCAGACAAGATTGGTTGTGAAATGATAATACCACTAACTACTTCCTCCGTTCCAAAATAGATGACCCAACTTTGTACTCCCTCCGTCCGGAAATACTTGTCATCAAAATAGATAAAAGGGGATGTATCTAGACATATTTTAGTTTTAGATACATCTCCTTTTATCCATTTTGATGACAAGTATTTTTGGACGGAGGAAGTACTAACCTTAGATCAAAGTTGAGTCATCTATTTTGGAACGGAGGAAGTAGTATGTAACGATAGCACAATCATTTTGCTATCATTTCCATAGCTTATATTTGCACAAGAGTGTGCGCCACATTGTAATAGTCTTGCAGTCTATATGCTTAACCTGTACACTATAAACCCTCCTCCCAGCCCACGCCCATGGCCTTACTACCAAAACTTTACCACCAAGGGCAAGAAGAGCTAGGGGAAGATTGATCGATCATGCATTGTCAGGCAATACATTATGCCTTTGATCACCCACTATCATACGTTTCGCATATGGTAACAGGCACCGCAAAATCGCAGATTGGTTTTCGGTCATCCTGGAAATGGGTGGATGAGCCCTTCATGTCACGTCATGTGGCAAACATCCCATTTAGCTCTTGGCTTTCTATCTTCTATGATCTGCACGTCACTGGCTCTGTCTGGCCTCTTCATTGTTCTTGATCTTCGCTTCCAAGCACCTGTCACCTCTTCTGCTTCACTGTCACAGCTGTCATCACAATAAAATAAATCCAGCCGTGTTCCTCTATGCATGACCTCTTCATTGTCATTGTCAGAAGGTAAGAACTCGACAACTTCTTCACTTTCTGAGCTGTCAGGATCTGATTTCACATCGTCCTTCACGGCGCTACCAGGCAATGTAGCCTCTTCAGAAAGAACACATACTCTGTTCCTTCCATCACTTTTGCGGGTGCTCCAAGGTGTTCCTTCAAATGTGTCTCCACCTCCTACCACCATTTCTAATCTGTCACCAGATGCAACTGCTTCTGATTTTCCTTTCCATAAGATTTCATCAGAGCCATCAGATGTTGCTGCCCCTGGCTTAACATCATCTGCGCCCATGTCTGAACTGGCACAGGGTATAACCGCCTCTGATTCTCCTTCCATCATCACACAGTCTTCATGAGAGCCATCAGCTGTAGGTGCCTCTGATTCTCCTTCCTTCATCAAACAGTCATCATCAGAGCCATCAGCTGTAGCTGCCTCAGACATAACATCATCAACCCTCGCACTTTCAAACTCTTTCAGCAGTAGTTTCCTTATCTTGTTTCTTAAATTAGAAGCCTCTTCAGATCTAAACCAACTGCGACTAAACTGTAAAGCCAATACAAGCTCAGTGTTAAACCCTCGAGAAAGAAACTCGCCAAGCTAAACAGACAAAGCATTATAAGAACTGAAAAATACAGAAAGGAGTTGGCACCACTAACCATGCCAAGTCTATCTCTTGTGAAATTTTCTGGTGCTTCAGTTATAAACCGTTGAATATAGTAGAGCATGAAGATGCCACAATCATATGCATTGTTCTGCCCTGGAACCTGGTCATTGTAACAATTTATAAGAATGTACCAAGATAAAAATGTAATTTAGTTGCAGACCACAATCTAAACAACTTTGAGTGTAGAACAGGAACCAATCCCAAACCAAAAATAATAATCTATAGATTCAATGACCTGGATAGTTAGCAATCTAAAGAGTTGAGTACTAGACTCCTAGGTTTTAAGTCAAGCAAGAAGAAACAACTCGCTTTTCATTATCAAATGCCTCCTTGCTTATGAACTATGGTATATTTCTCCATAATCAACTCATTGCTTTTAAGACACACCTGCATCGTCTGCTTCTATAAAGTATCCACCCATCATAACACTTACCTCAACATTTTCCTTGTGTATATTCCTTGGAAGATCCTCCCATATTGTGTCTGAAATAGAAATGTCAGAAGGAGGGTTGTTCCTTAAATGCTTCCATTCCTCTTCAAGGAATCTACATACAGTTGATGACATCAGCATTATGAAGAGTTTACTCGCTATCAAAATCATAGAACTCATCAACAAGTGAGCCAGCACCCAAAGTTAGATAATAGTCGTTATGTCACTTACCTCCTAACTGTACGATAAATGGCATCAGTAGGATGCATCCCTAAGGAGTCCAGATGAAGTACGATTGGTCCTGAATTACTCTCTTTTGCAGGAATGCAGATAATCACCAGGCTCCAGTGTGCCCTAATTAACAAAGACAAAAAAGCATTTAGCAGACATACCAAAAGAAGTACGCATAATGTTATTAACCTCATAGGCCACAACCCAATGCTTGTAAAACAATTCATCAGATTACTAAAGGATTGATACTTAGGAATCTGAAACTGCAGATCCAGATGGAGCATGGAGTTATAAAACTTATCCAAGAGTGCATTTGGATAAAATAATCAATAACATGAGCCATCAATTATATTTGCAAGCATATAAATAACAAACATGTTAGAATTCCTATTCCAGTAACTAACTTACGTTCCATGGATTGGCAGTATAATGTATCCTCTCTGAAATATATTGACACCTTTCCACCATCTTCTCAACTTCACGAACTCGCGCTAGAAAAAGTGGAGCATTACAATCTAAAATTATCATATGAAGATACCACTTCACAAACAAGAGAGATATCAAAACAGTACTTTATAAGAAACAAGTAGTGAAGTACTAGGACAGGACAACTACAACACATTGTCCAAAAATTCAGAGTACTCTGGACATATGCCTGTTACTATCGCATCTGAACATGGAAGCAATAAAAGCATATGTCCAGAGTACTCATGTATCACTAACAATAAGATTCAGAGAAAACATCGTATGAAAATAGTACAACACTACATAAAAAAGAAAGATAAATCATAAAAGACTATTAAATACTCCCTCCGTTCCCAAATATAAGTCTTTTTAGAGATTCCAACAAGTGACTACATACGGAGTAAAATGAATGAACCTACACCCTAAAATATGTCTACATACATTCGTATGTTGTTGTCCATTTGAAATGTCTAAAAAGACTTATATTTAGGAACGGAGGGAGTATATAAGAATCAAGAACTCAAGATACTAAGAAAGGACAACTACAACACAGTATAGTACTCCCTCCGTCCGGAAATACTTGTCGAAGAAATGCATAAAAATGAATGTATCTAGAACTAAAATACATCTAGATACATCCATTCCTCCGACGAGTATTTCCGGACGGAGGGAGTACTTCCTTCGTCCAGAATTACTTGACGCTCAAACGGATGTATCTAGACCTATTTTAGTGTTAGATACATCCATTTGAGCATCAAGTAATTCCGTATGGAGGGAGTACTAGGTTACACTATCACATTTTACCAAGCAAACAACAAAAGCTTATCTCCAAAGTACTCTCATGTACCATGAATAATAGAACTTGGAGAAGACTAACATATATTTTAGCGGCAGTATTCAAGTCATTCAATAGAAAAACAATCTTACCTTCCCAGATAATGCTTCTTGAAGCTTGCTGTAAAAATATGTGTTAAACATGTGGAAATTGTTTCTGGCAGCTTCACGTTGAAATTTGTCTCTTTTGATGTATCTGCCAGAAGAATATCATACAAAGAGTTAAACAGAAACATCCATTTAGAAGCAAAGTTGTTATGAACAGAATTCACAAGTCCTAACTTTAAACAATTCTAACATCTCTGAGTAAGTGGATAACTAAAAATTCACATGATGCTATTTTTACTAATTCGTCAAGCTCAACAGCTCAAATAGATAGCTTGATGATGTTCCGGACATTTCAATACCAACAGGCAGCACAACTAGGTGCATTAACACCTAAATGTTATCAAATCATAAAGAATTGATTGCTTCCTACTCCCCCCTTTCACTATTACAAGACATTTTGGATAATTCAGTATATACTAGATTCAGACTGAAATGAGTGAACCAACACACTAAAAGGCGTCTATATACATCAGATTTAGAAAAAAGTTAGAACATCTTATAATGGTGAATGGAGGGGGTATTATTCAAAGACACATGATGTGCTCAAGCAGTCTCTAAAAGGAGAAGATCATAGAATGATACAAAGCAAAACTTGAAAGATAGGGACATATATTCTTACTGGATGTAGTAGTTTATTACAGGGGACGACAAATATACTCCAGGATCAAGGCATTTGATATCCGAACTGGTGAGCTCTACAGCTTCTGGATCATCTCTGTTCAAATGGTTAGTATTAATGACAGAACTAAAGAAAATTTCACTGCCATGAACTGAAGGTCTTCAAAAAAAATGCAGTGTTCACCTTGATGGATAGTAAATTTTTGAGTCGTTCCTGAAAAACCCATTGTTTTATCAGATAGTAAATCGAAACTGTAGCTCAGTATGCATAACAGAAAACACGTTGGTGGTGAAGCTCCTTACTTACCATTCCTCTGGCACCCGACAGTCTACTGGTTCATCAGATTGTGCATCTTCGTCATCCACGAGAACCACATCATTAACCTAGTATAGGTACACAATATAATAATGTAGCTATGTAAGGTCAAATTTGTACTCCCTCCGTCCGAAAATACTTGTCATCAAAATGGATAAAAAGAGATGTATCTAGAACTAAAATACGACTAGATGCATCCCCTTTTATCCATTTTGATGACAAGTATTTCCGGACGGAGGGAGTATCTAAAAGTGGCATGATGATCAATCTACTACTGGAAGTACACTGTCCAAAAAACATCCTGGTTTTATTTCATGATGATAACCTAACTTAAAGGACAGACCCAGTGCTAGAATTAATTAGCACGGGCAAACTATTAATGGGAAGTGTGGCAGTGTACATAAATGGAGGAGGCCAGTTTTCTGCAGAAGCCAGCATCATGTAACAAGTGAAATGTCATTAATCGTAAACAGCTCAAATGCACTCACACTGCATGCAATAGGGCAGCTTTGTAGCTTGACCACTCAAGCAATAGGAAATAAGGATCATTTGTACAGGGGCAAAAAGTAAGGAAACTTTTACTCCCTCCGTTCCAAAATAAGTGTCGTAGTTTTAGTTTGGCTTTAGTTCAAATTTGAACTTTTGAACTAAAACCATCACACTTATTTTGGAAGGGAGGGAGTAGAATAGTAATTTCATTGGTCTAGATGATTGTCACGTTGTCAGCGTACCCACCTTTCGAGAATATAAAACAGATGAGTCTTCATGCTGTACATTCCACCTGTGTCGAAGAATTAAAAAGGAATCTCAGCTTAATATTTTGATTAAATGTAACAGTATACTGAGATGTATTGTATAGAAGTCCTGAGAGAGACTGTATGACGTATGTGAATAATATCCGCAATGCTTATTACTCCCTCTGTTCCTAAATATAAGTCTTTTTAGAGATTCCAATATGGACTACATACGGAGCAAAATGAGTGAATCTACACTCTAAACTACGTCTATGTACATCCGTATGTAGTCCATATTGAAATCCCTAAAAAGACTTATATTTAGGAATGGAGGGACTGGATATATAAGATTTCACCAGAATATGTATTCCACACATTTCCAATAACTTATGTCAAGCAGGTCTTAACAAAGTGGAGTACTGATATTAATATTGCTGATGTATAAGTGCACAGTGCACCTAAAAAACAAGACAGAAGCATTTTCTTCCTAAAAGAATGGCATAGTCATGGCCTTGCAGAAAGCAAAACAGCATATGCTTGAAATCTGAATCAAGTAAAGTGATACTATTATCATTTGTTAAAAATGATCAAGATTCCTGTCTCAGAACTACATTACGGCTACCAAGTCTGCACAATTCCAGAACACAACAGAACCAAGTAGCCATATACATACATAATTCCGTCAATATACTTTCTTACAAAACAGTGACTTTCTATTAAAAGTGCAGCTTAAAAATTCGTTGGTATTTGAAACTAAATCATAAAAGAGCTGTAAATGGAGTCTCTTGTAATTGCCAAACACAAGTAGTAATAATACTAGTAAAGTGCAATACGCATTGACAGAAATATTGTAAATTAGTAACACGGAGATCCTAAAACAGGTTGTGCAGGGATGCAGGGAACAGGGACAGTCAAAATTAAAAATGGGCACTCATGTGGTGTGCTAATAAGCTTAACACGGGATGGCATGTTTCATTTCTGTTGCCCTGATTTTCTGAAAATCTGACACATACCTATTTGCAGGATTGCTGAAAAAGTTGCTTTGAATCTGCCGACGCTTTTCTCTATCATGTTCCTTTGGATCAACGGCACGGACTCTCTGTTTGTGCCCAGATAAAGTAGTTGGAGATGTTTTGCTTGAGTACATCTTATCCTCTGGTATAGGTCTCATTCGTCCAGGTTGTTTGAAACTTGTGCGTGAAAACAGACCTAGCTGCATTCACCACCATTTCATCCTAATTTAGAAGAGATTTTTACAGATTATCAACAACAAGGACACATGCATGTCATTACTATATACCTCTCCGTAGTTTTTCTTTGTCGAGCGAATGGGAATGGGAGATGACTTCGGATGGTATCTGCGGGCAGCACGTTCTGCCTCTGAATCATCAATATCTGCAAAAAGGGCACATTACACTTAAAATTGCCCTAGCATGGTTAGCCGTAATGATGAGCAAATTAGCTGGAACAGATTCAACAGTCGCATATTTTCATTAGATGTTCCAACCAAACTGCATAAATTGCATTTCCTGTACTAACTTCATCCACAGCTCCCATGTACCCATACTTTGCCAACCCATCTCTCGACATTGCTAAGGTATAAGCTCGTAACTGAACATGCAGTAAGCGAAAAAACCTTACCAAATGAGTAAGCGTCAGAACGAGGATCCCGATAGGAAGCACCGCCATCCTACGAATTAACACCCCAATGACCATGTAAACAAGTTGTGAGAGGGAGAGAGGGGGCCAATCAGAGACGAGTGCACGATCGAACCTTGGCGCTGTTGGTATCGATCCCCCGGCGCCGCGCCTCCTCCTCGAGCAGCCGGAGGATGCGTTTGCGGCCTTCCCTCTTCTCCTGCTCGATTAGGCCTCCGAATGCGGGGTGCGTGCTGCGGGCGTACGCGATCTCAAGCTGCAGCGCCTCGTCCGAAAAATCCGCGATGTCCCGCCGCAGCCCGTCGTTCGATCTCCCAGAGAACTCCCCCTCCGTCTCCGCCTCCTCATCCCTCCTCCCCTTCCCCTTGGCCGGCGCCGGGGGAGGGCAGACGAATCCCTCGCCGGGGGAGGAGTGGGCGGACGCATTCCCCTTGGCCCTCCCCTTCCCGGCCGCCGAGGGAGGGGAGGCGAAGCAGACTTCGGCGTCGCCTTCGCCGTCGGGGGAGGAGCCCACGAACTCCTTTAGCCAGTTGATATCGATGCCGATCTTCTTCGCCGCCGCCCCCATCGTCATCCGCGGCGCCGGCGGCGCCGATCGGCGGGGAGGAAATGCGGATTGGGACGTTGTGGGGAGAGGGAAATTTGGGGTTTGGGGTTTGGGTTCGGGGGGGAATGGGGTGGTTGCCGTGACTATTAGTATTACCCCGGAACTTAATTAAGCGTAAAAACTTCGACGGTGAGATTTGCTCGCGGATTTGGAGACATTTATACATACGGAAATCTTCGGTTTTTTTTTTTACTCGGAATCTTCGACTCTTCGTTACACGTACGCACAGGTGGACGGACGGCTTGAGCGGTGAGCCCGCTTCCCCGGACTCCGGCGCTCGTGTTAACGAGTATTTCTCTAAAAATAAAAATAAATTGAAAAACTAACGGTGCGATCTAGGTATCGGCGAAATAGGATCGGATTCGAACGGATAACGTCTACTATCGTTTTTACATTGTATACGGACTATTAAATGTGCAAAATAAATGAATTTACACTCTAAAATGTGCCCACATGTATAAAATATCTGAAAAACTTTATATTTAGAAATGGAGAGAGTAGTATTTAGTTTTGATTCAGACGAGTGCCGATTCGAATACTGGATTAGGTGGATTCGGCTAACGAGGATCTTTTGAAGAAAAAAGTTAACGGTGTAATCTTTTTTCATGGGAAAAAGAAATTAATTGATTTATCATGGGGATTATATAGTTCTGATACTCCCTCTGGTTCGGAATACTTGTCGTGACGACCTTTTTACGAAATACCCCTCGATATTTCCCAGACACAACACGCGATACTCGCGGCCACTCGCTCCAGCACCTGCGTTGCTCCCATCCCCTCCTGTGTCGCTGCCTGCCCCGCCGCGCCATCGCCGGCCACCTCGCAGCTCGCCGCGCTGCGCAGCTCCCTCGCGTCTCCTTGACTAACCCCCGCGCAGCTCCCCCGGACAACCCTCCATGTCCATTCCTCGTGCATCTCACTCCTCACATGAAAAATGGATCCTTTCTCCTCTAGATCCGGCGACGAACGCGGCGATGTCAGATCCGGCGGTGAGCTTCGGTGATGCGATGGAGGGCATGAGTTAGTGTTGCGGTGGGCTTCTACGGTGCTGGATCCACCGGCGGCGAGGTCAATACAGCGTCATCGGCATGCTCGTCGTCTACACTTCCAGCTCGTCAGCTGCGGCGAGGAAAACTTTTTACTCCATGGAGACCGCCTTCTTCATCTCCACTTCAGGTACTCCTGATTTTCCCCATGGAGTAGCTTTTCTGCAATTTCTGCAATTTCCTACAGAGTATTGGAGTTTTTTTTTTGCTTAAATAGCATCACCAATGGCTGGTGATCCGCTGCAGTACAAGAAGCTCACCAATGTCTGTAGTTTTGCCCAATTTCTACAATTTTGCATGGAGTAGTTCTTTGCAATTTTCACCAATGTCTGTACAGAGTACATGACCATTTGTTTATATGGGAGTAGTACTCATGTCTGTACAGAGTAGTTTTGCTCAATTTCTACAATTTTGCATGGAGTAGTACTTTGCAATTTTGCATGGAGTACTTATATGAACTCTGCAACGAACCAAAATTCAGAAATAGAGGGATTGCATAATATATGGCCAATTCAGAAACAGAGTAGATGACCATTGCAATTTTCACCAATGTCTGCAACAATATGGGAGTATCATAAAAAAATTGTATTGTTACTGTCATACCTGAATATATATCTGGAGTACAACTAAATTTTATAGGAATATATACCTGAATATATATCTGGACAACAACATTTCGGACAGTAAACATAGGGCTTTTTTTTTGTGTTGGACAACTACATACCTGAATATAATTATACATACACTGAAATTATGGATGATGATGGATGACATCGATATCTACTTTGAAATTATTTTTAGGCCATCTATATATGCTCTGATTATTTTTAGGCACTCTAAATACTCCTTCTTTCATCTTTCATCTGTTTGCTTGTCCTTCAGTGACCCTCTATAATGTTCAAAGTTTTCCAATATAGCTCAGCATCGAATCTTAGATTGATATGTAGCATCCCCTCCCTCTCTATTCTATCTTTGTTCATGTGCGGGATCTTGTATCATGTTCCTCCCTCAACTCTCATAACCTCAATCAGGACTGACTGTAGGGTTATAAACACCCTCGCTAGTTTGTGCACTTCATACCTATTATATGCTTCTTCAACTGATTCTACCAGTTCCTTGATGTTGTTTGGTGCACTTTCAAGTGTCAACGACTGAATTGAGCTGAAGAAGCAAAGATCCAGGGCATTTTATTCATATCAGGTGAATTTGCAGGCTCCTGCATCAACCTGATATCCAGTTCTGATTCTGCTACGACCGCTAGAAAATGCGAATCATCTAGAGGAACATGTGTTCTTGCGTTATCTTGCTGGATGTAGATGGTTCGATTGTCTTCGGGCCACTATGCTTCAATAGCTGGAATGACCTTTTCACATAGGTATTCCCTCATCACATTCCTAGTAACTGTGACCGACTTTAGTTCCTTAGTCCCTTTGAGTCTGTTCTTGGAATCCTTTTTTGCTGGAGTTTCTTTGATGAAGGCCCATACTCCTATCTTGCCATCAAATGTTACATTTCCTTGATCATCAAATCGTGGCCTCGCAACTGCTATTAAGAACATGACCTTGCCGATAATGTTCTTGTTTTGAATAGTGCACACCTGATCTGGTTCTTCTTCATGGAGGTAATAGGTCATGTTCCTTTTCATCATATCAAACCATTTCTCGTCGATGTGAACTATGTTCTGCATATCAATGAAAGAGGGCATTGCATCTGCTATTGTTGTTTGATCAATCATTGAAATGCAAAACTTGAGCCTTGATAGCTTGTTTTCTGGTTTCAAAGTGGGCTTCAGACTGTTTGTGTGTTTCCTGATGTCTACTACACAACCTTCTTCTTGTAGACGTTGTTGGGCCTTCAAGTGCAGAGGTTTGTAGGACAGTAGCAAATTTCCCTCAAGTGGATGACCTAAGGTTTATCAATCCGTGGGAGGCGTAGAATGAAGATGGTCTCTCTCAAACAACCATGCAACCAAATAACAAAGAGTCTCTTGTGTATCCAACATAACCAATACAATGGTAAATTGTATAGCTGCACTAGTTCGGCGAAGAGATGGTGATACAAGTGCAATATGGATGGTAGATATAGGTTTTTGTAATCTGAAAATATAAAAACAGCAAGGTAACTAATGATAAAAATGAGCACAAACGGTATTGCAATTTTAGGAAACAAGGCCTAGGGTTCATACTTTCACTAGTGCAAGTTTTCTCAACAATAATAACATAATTGGATCATATAACTATCCCTCAACATGCAACAAAGAGTCACTCCAAAGTCACTAATAGCGGAGATCAAACGAAGAGATTATTGTAGGGTATGAGACCACCTCAAAGTTATCATTTCTGATTGATCTATTCAAGAGTCCGTAGTAAAATAACACGAAACTATTCTTTTCATTTGATCTATCATAGAGTTCGTACTAGAATAACACCTTAAGACAAAAATCAACCAAAACCCTAATGTCACCTAGATACTCCAATGTCACCTCAAGTATCCGTGTGCATGATTATACGATATGCATCACACAATCTCAGATTCATCTATTCAACAAACACAAAGTACTTCAAAGAGTGCCCCAAAGTTTCTACCGGAGAGTCAATACGAAAAGGTGTGCCAACCCCTATGCATAAGTTCATTGAATCCGCAAGTTGATCACCAAAATATACATCAAGTAGATCACGTGAATATCCCGTTGTCAGCACAGATAAGCACGGCAAGACATACATAAAGTGTTCTCAAATCCTTAAAGACTCAATGCGACAAGACAACTTCAAAGGGAAAACTCAATTCATCACAAGAGAGTAGAGGGGGAGAAACATCATAAGATCCAACTATAATAGCAAAGCTCGTGATATATCAAGATCGTATCACCTCAAGACACACGAGAGAGAGAGAGAGAGATCAAACACATAGCTATTGGTACATACCCTCAGCCCCGAGGGTGAACTACTCCCTTCTCATCATGAAGAGCGCTGGGATGATGAAGATTGCCATCGGTGAGGGATCCCCTGTCGGTGTCAAAACCGACGGATCTCGGGTAGGGGGTCCCGAACTGTACGTCTAAGGCTAATGGTAACAGGGGGCAGGGGACACGATGTTTTACCCAGGTTCGGGCCCTCTCGATGGAGGTAATACCCTACTTCCTGCTTGATTGATCTTGATGATATGAGTATTACAAGAGTTGATCATAGTCCAACAGTCCGACCAAAGTATATAGTCCAGCTGTCCGAGGACCCCTTAATCCAAGACTCCCTCAGTAGCCCCTGAACCAGGCTTCAATGACGATGAGTCCGGCGCGCAGATTGTCTTCGGCATTGCAAGGCGGGTTCCTTCTCCGAATACTCCATAAAAAATTTAGAACACAAAAACCGTGTCCGGCTCTGCAAAACAATTCCCACATACCACCGTAGAGAGTATAATATTCCACAAATCTAATCTGCTGATAGCTTTTTATGACATCACGCCATGGTCCGGTCATTATTTGAACCGTTTTTCACAACCAGTCGACGCACATATCATGAGGCGGTTATTTCAGCACGTCTTTGTCGAAGCAGAGATCGTGTCCCCCTATTGCGGGATTCTCCTTAATATGGGTGCGGGTAACCCAACCGTGCCATCAATCGTGGTGCTTGAGAAATAAGCGTTTTTAGCGGGCAAGTGGGGAGGCGCAGGATCTTTGCTGCCTTTATAAGGGGATAAGGACATTCCCTTTCACACACGCCCTTCCCTACTCATCCATTCCTTTCCGCTCGAGCCCTAGTGCCCAAGCGCTTCTCTTCTCCGCCCAAAAAGGCTTTCCCGAAGATGTCCGGATCTGGAGCAGGAGGCAAGTGGATGGCCTCTACCGTCCAGGAGAAGGATATCAAAAAGCTTCGGGGGGCCGGATATCTGGCCAAGAGAATTAGCCACCGTCTTCCGATGGCG